AAAAGTGGGATGTATGTGGTGTATTTTCAGCAAAATATGAAGAGATAAGAAATTCTTGTGTCTTTTATCATTGAAAATTTTGAATAGGAGTCACCATGTAATGTTCTAGTCACTAGGAATCCTAACTGATATAAGAGATCGAGTATGAAGACTGGTTGCGTAAAAGAAAGGTATTAGTATCCCAAATACGCTCTATCTAAGATAAACTGCATTATTTTATTTGTTCAAATCTAAAGTCATGTTATGGTTTTTAATCGTTGGTCTGTCTAAGGGTAAGAAAAGTCTTTTTCTGTAAGGAGATCTTTATCTTATCAAGTAAAACCTTAAGTGTTTTGTGTCGTTAATAAAAAAAACTATCTTTTTAATATCAGGAATACGTTTTATATATAAATTCATAATCCCTGATATTAAAAAAAAACAAAATAAATTTTTTTGTTGTTTTTGAAATTTTGACCAATATTCTCTTTACTTTAATAAATTAGTTATTAAAGTCAAAATGCATGCTAAAATAGTATTTTTGGTGTATGAAAAATACAATATGATTTTTTAACTTTGAGACACTTGGTCGTTTTGGTCAAAACGCGCCGTTTTATTTAAATGAAAAGGCGACAAAATGTGTCAACTTTCATATTGGTCCCCAATTTGTAATTTGCTCAATCAAGTCCTAAATTGTAAATCTTGATTTAAAAATCAATGCAATTGCATCCCTGCTAAAAATCAAAAAATCCAATAGCACCCCTAAAGTCGATTGTCTTTTTGATTCTTGGTTTTGATATTGTGCAATTTGACCCTTAATTGAGCTTTTGACTGGTTTTAATTCCAACCCCTATACTTACGCGTCTTTTCTGTTTTGGTTTTTGATTTTGGATTTCTTCAATTAAGTTCTTAAATGACCATCAAACTTCAATATTTATGCAATTAAGCTCTTAATTTGACCAAATTAACTTTCAAAAATTATAATTTGACCCCAAAACTTTAATTTCTTCCAATTAAAGCATAAATTGACTCCAAAATCAATTTTTCTTGCAATCAAACTCTCTATAAATTCAATTAAACCTTCAATGAAATTTAATTGAGTCCATAAACATCTGATTTTGGACTTTTCTTACTTAAATTGAATTTTCTTTGTCAACATGACTGTCATCAGTTAATGAAATGTTATCAAGTTTTAATTTTTGTATTTTTTAACCTCTTCAACTAATTTTTAATCATTTTTTGGATGCACTGACATCATTTTTCACTGTTTATATTTTTTGATAATATTTTTGATTTGTTGTAGTTTATTATTTTTTTGTGGGGGCCCAAAAATGGGTTATGACACAACTCAATAATTTTTTTTATTTCACCCTAGTATTTTTTAATTTAGAAATAATCCATCATATTACAAATATTTTTCAATTTCATCTTCTATAATTTTTTAATCTTTCAAGTTTGGTCCTAATTATTTTAATTGCAATTGTTTTTGTTTGTGATAATTTCTTTGTTAAAAAACAAGTTTTATTTTTATTTTGCTCTTTATACTTGATATTTTTATCACTTTATACTTGGTCTATTTATCATCTTTTTTTTTAATCTTTATTTTTTCTAATATTCTTTTTAGTTTTTTCTTTACACTTTGTTTTTGAAAAAATATTACTTTTTATTTTTTACACTTTGAATATTTATTACTCTACACTTGGTCTATTTATATCTTTCTTTTTATCTTATCTTTATTCTTTGATAATTTGTTTTTATTTTTTTCTTTACATATTTTTGTTCAAAAATTATTATACAAAGACTAGGAAATGACATTTCACTATAGCAACTGCAACATTATTTTCATTCTTCTACTACATTAAAAATTCACTTGAGATTTTACATGTCTTTATTAATGTATATGATCTGCTACTATATTTTATTATATATAAGTATGAATTTTTTGATTCACGATTGTATTTCTTACTTGATTTAAAAAAACAAGTTAATAACATCTACACATTAATTGTTTTGCTTTAGAAAAAATTATTTGATCTGCAATGAAACGAGTTGAATAAACACATTAGCACTTTATTTTTTTTGTATTTACTGGCATAGATGATCTCGATATATTTAATTAAATGCATGTATAAACCTTTTAATTTATAATTATATTAAAAAAAGAACTTTTGAAAAGCTTGTATGTTTTTTTTTTT